GGGTGGAAAAGCTGTTGGACCTGATGATATTCCAATAGAGGTGTGGAAATGCTTAGGAGATGAAGGAATTTCATGGCTTACTAAACTTTTTAATACTATTTTGAAGACTAAGAAGATGCCAGATGAGTGGAGAATGAGTGTGTTAATTCCTATTTTTAAGAATAAAGGTGATGCACAAGATTGTGCGAATTATAGAGGTATTAAGTTAATGTGTCATACTTTAAAACTATGGGAGCGAGTTATGGAGCATAGGTTGCGGCGTGATACTAATGTTTCTCAAAATCAATTTGGATTCATGCCGGGTAGGTCGACTATGGAAGCCATACATTTATTAAGAGGTTTGATGGAGAAATATAGAGAAAATAAGGAGGATCTACATATGATATTTATTGATTTAGAAAAAGCATATGATAAAGTTCCAAGAGAAGTGCTATGGAGAGTTCTTAAAAAGAAAGGAGTCAATAATGCTTATATTCAAATCATTAAAGATATGTATGCAGGAGCTATTACATGTGTTCAAACACAAGGTGTTTACCCTTAGAGATAGGATACGGAATGAGCATATACGTGAAAAGGTTGGAGTAGCTCCAGTAGAAGATAAGATTAGAGAAAGTCGCCTTAGATGGTTTGGTCACATAAAACGGCGGCCTTGTGATGACCCGGTTAGGAGAGTAGAGGTATTAGATTTGACTTATGTTAAGAAAGGTAGGGGTAGACCTAAAAAGACTTGGTTAGAAAATATTAGGAATGACCTTTCTTTATTAGATTTAAACGAGAATTTGACTTTTAATAGGACACAATGGAGAAAAAGGATTCATGTAGCCGACCCCACGTAGTGGGATAAAGGCTTGATGTTGTTGTTGTTGTTGTTGTTGTTGTATTTGTAAAGTATGTCTATGATGTTATCTTTTTATGAGAATCAGTTTGTATTTATAATTACATTAAGTTTTTTTCTGCAAGTCTATATTTTTGCCATTAATCCTTTGAAGGTTTGCGATTGCTAGGTCTTTGTTGATCTCTGTTTATGGTTTAGTTGTGTGATTATCTGCAGCTTTGGGTGTTGGCTCTTTAAAATTACCAGTTTGTTCTTTGTGATGGGTTCCTTGGCTCTGTGGCTTAGTGCTTTGGTGATGACAGGTGGTCTGCTATTCATGTGATTAATACATTTTGATTGGTCTTGGAGTGATGGGTTATTAGGCTTTGACCTAGTAGTTGTGATACTTTGGCGTAGGGCAGGTTTTTATTCTTGGAGATAACCAGTTCATTGAGTTTTCTTGTGCTGCAGGAATTTGTGTTTGCAATTTTAAGTGTTGCCTAGCAAATTTTGTGTTTGCGAACTCTTTTTCTATTATAAATCTAGAAGAACTTTGTGGGTTGTAGAAAAGGTCTCGTGAGGCATTTAAAAGGTGATCTAGTCTTTCTTTTTTTTTTTTTCTCTTTGATAAAATTATGGGTTGGATATGTTGCTCCTTTTAATCCACTTCTTGATTAGGAGATGTAGATTTTTAGGAGATGTTCTCTCTATATACGAGCAACATGCTTAGTTTAGTGATTTATTTTATTTTATAAAATCTTAGTGTGATTTGCACGTATGATTGATTTTTGTTAAGTTTGATACAATATGCATTTCAATCTTAAATTAAATTTTCATATGACTATATGATTATGTTTTCAAATTTCTACTCATTAATTATGGTCGAAGTTTACTAAATTATATCCTTAAATGCATGGATTTATTTATATTTTTGTTTCCTATTATGTAACAAGATGTTGCCAAAATTAGTAGTTTATTGTCCATGGGTTTGTTTGTTTGTGATTTTGTGTATTGATTTGATTATTAAGTTTGAGACCTTAAGATGTCCTACCTTAGATTTGATATTAGAGTTTAAAGTTGTAGAAATGTCAACTACAAGTGAGATTCAGTATCTCCGATGAAATTTTGGAAATTTGAAACTAAATGGCTAAATAAGCTAAATCAAATGAGTGAATCTATATAAATCGAGTTAAAGAATGAATTGAACCTTTTTGGAATTGCTCCTCATTTTAGCCTTATAAATAAGTAGTTGATTCTAATTGTCTTTATGAACTGGTCCATCTAAATGTTGATATAGAGATAGGAAGTTCATTACAGTGGAAATAATCTATAAGTATTTATTGAATACGGGAAGTTCATTACGGTAGAAATAATCTAAGTATTAGGAAGTTCATTACGGTTGAAATAATCTAAATATTATTGAATATATGGTAATTAGGACTATAGTAATAATTTATAAAGTATGGACACCAACACAAGAAACAACACTACATGAATGCTAGTATGCTACGACACAACACAATCATAAAAATGAAGACTTGACTCATCATGGACGTGATGTTTTATTTTATAAATTATCAATATAAATGTGTAATTAAAATACGTAATGCTAATAATTTTGTAAAAGCACAAAAAATGAAGAATAAACATGTTTGTGATTGTATATATAAATTTCATAAAAAAATACAATGATCAACATTAGAAAGCAACATCTTATTCTAAGAAATTTTAACGTATGAAGATTTTATGTAGATTAAAGATAAAAGTATTTCTACGTTGAGAATTATGAATCATGTTCCTCAATCTTTCATTTGGAAATTTCTATTTATGTATTTTGATGATATTCATATTTGCTAGGATTATTAGAGGATTATTTGGTGTATCTTGTAAATGTCTGGAATTTTATTAAAATATAAATTTTATTTGAATATGGAGACATGTTTTGTAACAACTTCTATGATATTTTTTTGGAGTTGTAGTATCGAATCAAGAGATATTCATTTATATTGATAAAGAAAAAGCAATTAATGATTGGACGTGCACAACCTAGTAATATTTATAAGATTCAAAGTTTTCATGGTTTAGCTATATTTTATTGATGTTTTGTTAAGGAATCCAATACTACCATGCATGGCACTAATTACCATCTTAAAAAGGAGCTTTTTTTGGATGAAATTTAATATTTGTGCTTTTAAAATATCTAGAAAAAGCTTACAAATGTATTTGTGCTTAAATTGTAAATTTTACTAATATTTCTTTCTGTTTCTTTTTATGCTTCAAGTGTACATATATGAAGAGGTTTATGAAAAATGAACTTACTAGTGTTTATTTTAGTGAAAATTGATTGAAACTGAGCAAACACACTTTAATTTGATATGAAATTCCATGCATTAATAAAATCTGTTCGATATCGACAATATGATCTATTACGGAAAAAGTGTTTTATATTTTGATCATCAGAGATGTAAATATCTTATTTAATAAAAATAATTAAGATATGCACTTGCTAGATGAGTTGAATATTTCCAAGATTATACTTTTGTGTTGAAACTATGTGCTAGGATAACAAATAAACTTTTGCTAATTCATTAAGTATTTGCTATTATTTTACATACAATGAAAGTCAAAGTGACATGTTTTGATTATATTATGAGGCATTATGCTAAGATTTGGGACTTCAATGACATATATAATGTATTAAATAATGAATCGACTATGTTTAATAAATAATTCATGGTTAAAGATTACTATTATTTCAATAGAACCCGTTTTTATTATTCTAAAGTTGCATGCTTATGTTATAAGTCCTATTTGTAGATATGAGATTATAACCATGATAGAGGATATAACTAGCCAATCCAATTTTAATAAAAAAATAGAACAAATAGTATAAAAAATGCAGGATTTGTCAAATAGATAATGAAAAAAGAAATTATATTAGATTATAAACACCTTTGTCTATTATTATAAATCTTGGGAGGATATTAGTATGGATTTTAGATTAGGACTGTTTTTGTCGGTAGATTGATTTTCAAAAATTGCTTATTTCAATTCATTTAACATACTTGTGATTGGCTCACATATAGCAAAACTATGTTTTATCAAAGTTATTAAATTACATGGATTATCTAAAGCTATTGTTTAAAATGATTTGTAATTTATGAGCAATTAAATTAAAAAAAACTCTATTGGGAAAAATGTGGAACTTCAATTAAAATGCTCAACTACTTATTACCTACATACTGATGGACAAACTAATTAGTTAATAGGAGTTTAATGTGTGTGATAATTGAGCGTATACTTATTTGGAATTTGATATTGCATATGATTGAATTTGTATATAATTTATCTGTCAATTGATCTACATGCATGAGTCAAGTTGGAAGTCACAGTTCTAGGAAACTTATGACATCTGCTTAGATACCACTAGAAGGCCGTTGAAATTTTGTTGAAGCCTGGAAATGCTGCGAAACTCCCACCAACATAGCCCACATTCTTGACTGTAGTCAAAACATACTGATCTTGCCACCTAAAACCCCAAAATAAAATAAAAATCTGCAAACTCATCAAACACATCGAAAAATTAAGAAGCACCAGACAATGCAAATGAATTCTCTTATTAGTATTTTTAATCATTGATTCTTATTTTTACCTAGTGCTCTTATTAGTATATCTTAAATATATTTGCTAGCAGTGTTATTAAAGTTGGCTTATAAAATTTTCTCAACATGTGTTTTGTTTGAGTAGGTTGGAGTAGCTCCAGTGGAAGATAAGATTAGAGAGAGTCTCCTTAGATGGTTTGGTCACATTAAACGGAGGCCTTCCGTTGACCCGGTTAGGAAAGTTGAGGTTTTAGATTTGACTTATGTTAAGAAAGGTAGAGGTAGTCCAAAAAAGTCTTGGTTACAAAATATTAGAAATGATCTTTCTTTATTAGATTTAAATAAGAATTTGACTTTTAATAGGACACAATGGCGAAAAGGATTCATGTAGCCGACCCCAAGTAGTGGGACAAAGGCTTGATGTTATTGTTGCATATGTTTTGTTTGAGTTTTGTCACCATCTCTTACCTCCATGTTTGTTCTTTGTTTTTATATTAGTTTTTCTGCACTAATATTTTACTGTCACTTCGCGTTTCTGATAATGAATCTATCTTTGCGTATGACATTTTCTATTAATTCTATCATGTATGAAATAATCTTGTTCATGTAGGCAGAGAATAGAATAATTTCCATGACAGCCAGCCGTTCTGACTGGTGCATTTCACGGCAGCGAACTTGGGGTGTTCCTATCCCAGTCTTTTATCATGTTGACACAAAGGAACCATTGATTACAGAAGAGACAATCTCACATATTAAGGGTGAGGGTTCTCATCCCCTTCTCTTAATTGATGCATCCGTGAGAATTTTCAAGTTCGTCCCATCTCACATGTTATTCTCTAATAGTTAGAACTCTGATTGATATTATTTTATTTAGCTCTATCATTGTAATAACTTCTAAACAAGTTAACTTCATCCTATTTTCACTTTTCTTTGTGGCCCTTCCAACTTTACCCCCTTCATGCATTTGCATCTTCTTTTCATTTTGTCTACCAAAACCTTCTCATTTTCTTTTCTGCTTGGGTGTACTCTGTGAATTGAATTCCTATTGTTTGTTCTCTATTTCCATGGATCGAACCTATGACCTAAAAATAATACCAATATCTTTTTCACAAGTTTCTCCTAATTAATGATAATGACATGCTATAAAAAGATAGATATATCTATTCCCTATTCCTTGTCTATCTAGCATAAGCGGGCCTCCATCTTTGTAACATATTATTTCTAGGCTAAACTAAAGGTCCTTTTTCTCATTGGTAAATTTTATAGTCCATAGAAAATAACTATTGTGGTTCTGCACTATAAAATTCTTCCTTCAGTCATCATGCTATTTACATAACTATTATGAAGTATTTCTTCTATATAGCCAAACTCTTGTTCAAGGCCAATCTAAATGACTTGGTTTTTTACATTAATTTTTTTTACTTTCGACCTCTTATTAAGAAAAAATCTACAATAAATAAAGGATTTTAAATTTGCATATAGTTTTCCATCTTTAAAAATGATGGCCATCATCATCATCAGTAGCCTTATTCCAATTATTTGGAGTCAGCTTTGTGAATCCTGATTTTTCATTTATTTTGGTGAGTTTCTTTGAGGAGTTTAATCTATTCTTCGCATTTCATTAAAATTCTATCTATATATCCTTAAGTCCATCCGATCTCCTTTCTACTACTTTGACACCAAAATGATGGCCATATTGTGTAAATGTTTCTTGTTTGTGCGCAGGTCATTTAACCATTAAACATTGTACAAGAAAACTGCATACTTTATTTTAGCAGAACTTCTTTAACAAAAATCATTTTTTAGACTCTTGTTTGTTTTACATGTGTTTTTGAAATTAATCCTTATTCATTGATAATCTAGCCTTATTTCTAATTACTACTCCTGAGTCATTCATTTTATTTTTGAACACCCACTTTGTTCCAACAACACTTTGATCTTTTGGCCTTGTAGTTAATTCCCAAACTTTTACATTTTTGTTTCTTGTTTTTTTCCTTCGTTCTATGATGAAGTGACCTGATTTCACTGCACTATGTTTAAATCTTCATGTAAATTTGCTATATGGGGATATGAAAATGATGCCGTTTTTTTCTATTTAAATTTAATTGGTTCTTCTTTCTAAATGTTCTGGGAGGAGGATACTATTGCAATTACATAAAATTGGCCCCAATAGTTGGCGCATAACTGTGTTACAAAAATTTTAATAGTCAATATGGTGTAATTTGCAGCTATAATTTCCAAGAAAGGCAGTGATGCATGGTGGTACATGTCAACTGAGGAGCTTCTCCCTGAAAAATTTCGTAGCAGTGCACCAAAATATCAGAAGGGAACTGATACAATGGATGTTTGGTTTGATTCTGGTATGTGAATGATCAAATCCAGTTTTCTTTTGATAGCTGTTAGGACAAAGAAAGCTTATCTTGAACGTACTTTATGTTCTTTTTTGATTGTGGTGAATTCAGAGATTTGAGAGGGATAAAGTTTTATCTTTATTGCACAAATATATCCCTATTTATAGCTCTATACATAATCTCTAATAAAGAAATAAATCAATTACATAATCCTGCATTATTGTCCGAATATAATCCTTCCTAAATCAGCCACCTAACTATGGAAAGAGATCGGCGTGATTCAGGTGAGCCTCACACGGATCCCCATCCTAGCGGTGGGATCAATCTGCTAAGGGACGGTTGAGATTTAACACTCTTTGATGTGATACATGCTTGGAGTTACATAAGATTATCAAGAGAATTTAATAGAAGTTAACATTTATAAAGTTATGCGTCAATTCAAAGTAAGTTACAAAAATTTGCGGTCTTCCACTTGCTTAGGAAAAGAATTGCGTGAAGAATAACCAAGACACTCTCAATCAAATACAAAGACGAAGTAATGTAAAAGCTTATAACACAAATCCAAAAGTTAATAATGAGATGTTCACCTTGAGGATCTACTCTCTCTCTCTCTCTCTCTCTCTCTCTACGGATCTAGGTTGAGCGGAAGAAGATCTTCCACACTAGAAATGAGGTGACCACTAGGAAGGACGAGCAGAGGAACATCGTTGTTGGGAAGGTAGCCGAAGATGGAGGCGGCACGGAGCGTCTAATAAGGGATCACGGGGTTCGTGGTCATTGAAGTTCAATGGTCCCGGCAAGGAAATAGACGATACGGTTGACGTAGTGTTCAACGGTGACGTCGTACTCCCAATCCGGTTCGTAGAAGGGGGAGTGGAAAATGTCGATCTCCCCTTGTTCATTGTACGCGAAATCGTGATCGACCTCAGGATCGGCCATGCACGGTAATCATGGGGATGAAGGAACACTAGGAGGAAAACCCAAGAGAGGAGAGGGTGGTGGACGGCTAGAGGAAGTGGGGAGGAGGCTAGGGGTTTGGAAGAAATTAGGTTAGGTTGGGTGGTGATGTGGTTTGATCAAAATATGAAATTAAACTCAGATTTTGAGTCAATTGGGAGGGAAATACTTTTGAAATTTGATTTCAAATAGGTGTCAATTAATACATTGAAGGAGGGAATTAATGGGATGGGGCTATAGAGGGGCCAGCGTCATGGAGAGAGAGGGGAGAGGGGTTTAGAATAAAAACAGAAATCAATTTCAGCTTAAGTGAAATTGGAGGGAGAATTATTTGAAATCAATTTTGGGATTTCAAATAAGGGGTGAGGGCAATGACAATTTTGGGATTTCAAATAAGGGGTGAGGGCAATGAATGAGCATTCAATGGGGGAAGCCCATTAAGGGGGCCGGCGGCATCATGAAGGAGGGAGAGGATTGAGGGAGGATGTAAGGGGGTTTTCAAATAGGTAAAGAATATTAGGAAAGAAGAAAAATAAATCCAATTTGATTTATTTTAAAATTTGGGTTCAATAAAGAAACTTTCTTAATTTAGAATTCCCCAAATGGAAAGAATTTGAAATTTGAAATTCAATTAGGAACTAGGGTAAAAGAGGGGCGGCGGGCGGATGGTGGGAGGCCGGTGGCCAGATGGTCAGCCGGCGGGTGGAAGGCAGCCAGCGGCTTGGGATCTTAAGGGGGGCCGGTGGCAAGGAGGGTGGGGGCTCGGGTTCTCCAAGGCAATTAGGGTTTGTGAGGTCTACTTTAAGGGGAAGGAAAAAAATTGGTGAAAGAGGAAAAGAAAGTTAAGAACCACAAACCTCAACACTTCATCTACTAGAACTCACAAAGAGATCTAGAGGAAACGTCACGAACTCACAAAGAGATCAACAAGGAAAAATTTTCATTCATCAATAATCACTAATACAATAGAGGAGGCCATCATATATATGCCTAAAGAAAATAAAACACAATGATACAAATGCCCCTGAGGCTACAAACCAAGACAACTAAAAGAAAGGGTACAATCGGGAATAATAAATAATACAACATCAAAATAAAACTAAGCATCAAAATAAAGGCTGTGGATCGTGGCCATCGATCGGCACCTCCTGCGCTGATATACTCGTCGAAAACGTCTGTCGATCTCCTCATCACTCTTCCTCAAGTCGGTGAATATAGATATGTCATTCCCAGCTTGATAATTAGTCCCAAAAAGGCAGAGTTATCAAGTCCCTTGGTAAGAATATCCGCAAGATGATCTTTTGATGAGACATAATACATACATATTAAGTTCACTGTCTAATTTTTCCTTTTTTCCTTTATAAAATGTCTGTCCACTTCTATGTGCTTGGTCCTGTCATGTTGAACCGGATTGTGAGCTATGCTGATTGCTGATTTGTTGTCACATTGTAGCTTCATGGGTCCTTCCCACTTGATCTTTAGGTCTTCTAAAATCATCTTGATCCATAGTAGCTCACATATTCCCAATTCCATAGCTATGTATTCTGCTTCTGCATTAGATCCTGCCACCACATTCTGTTTCTTTCTTCTTCATGTAACAAGGTTTCCTCCAAGGAATGTGCAGTATCCTGAGGTAGACCGCCTATCTATTGGTGATACCGTGTAATTTGCATCAATATATACTTCTGGGTTTATTCCACAGTCTCTTTTGAAGAGAATTCTTTTCCCTGGGTTCCTCTTAAGGTAGTGCAGTTTTCTGTCTACAGCTTGCATATGAGCATGTTTTGAATTTTGCATGAACCGGCTGACCATGCTTACAACAAATGATATATCTAGTATGGTGTAGGAAAGGTTGATCAATTTTCCCACAAGTCTTTGGTAAGTTTTCTTATCTACATATGGATCTTTTTTAGTTTCATCCAATTTGAGATTTGGTTCTACTAGTGTTGGTGCCGGTTTACATGCTAGTTTACCTGTCTCTTTAAGATCATGGATGTATTTTGTTATGAAATGAAAATTCCTTTGCTTGAGTGGGTCACTTAAATTCTAAGGAAATATTTTAATCTATCAAGTTCTTTGATCTCAAATTCCCCGGTAAGACATTTCTTTAGAATCACTTTCTCCTTTTCATCATTCCCAGTCAAGATTATATCATCCATATAAACTAATAATATTGTGACTTCCCTTGAGTATGAGTGCTTGAAGAATAATATATGGTCCCCTTGACTCTGTTGATAACCATTAAGAAGTATGAATTTTGATAATCTTCCAAACCAAGCTCTAGGTGACTATTTTAACCCATATAGAGCCTTTCTTAACTTTCACACCTTGCCACCTTCAAATTTTTTCTTGAATCCTGGTAGAATTTTCATAAATATCTCTTTCTCCAAGTCCCCGTATAGGAATGCATTTTTGACATCCAGCCGTTTCAGATGCCAGTTGTAATTAGTTGCTAGTGAGAGTAGGATCCTAACAGTGTTCATCATAGCTATAGGCACAAAAGTTTCCAAGTAGTCGATGTCGTATGTCTGAGTATACCCTTTCGCCACCAGTCTTGCCTTATAGCTTTCTAGTGTACCATCGGCTTTGTATTTCACAGAGAACTATAATAGCCTGCATTTTGACCCAAATAAATAATTTTTTTGGGAGTCATAAGCCAAATTTGAAAACCTTCTTTACCATAAGTTGAATTTTATATTAATATTTTATATGAATTTTAAAATATTTTATATGAATTTTATACTAACAATTGATTAAATTAAAAAATTATATAAATATTTTATTATTAGCTTATTATAAATATGATAATCCACTATCTTAAGTCATTAAATTTCCTTTTTTTTATTCTAAGTTGGGCTAACAGAGGAATGAAAAAAAAAATATAAGAGAGAAAGAGAAGAAAGAGAAATAAAAGGCTAGGATTTGAAGGTCGCAGAGCGATTTTCATCAGCCGACTTAGTTGAAAATTTCACTCGTCTCGCTGTAAGGAACCTTTACTCTATTTTTGATATCATTAATTTTGTGTTTTTAACATTTTTCAGATCAAATTTGTATTTCGCTTACTGTAAAACGAGGATAATGTTGTAGTGGTAAAACTTTCATCTTATAAATTTTAATATGTGATAGATCTCATCAATATGAGCATTTTGACTGGAATATATTGAATTTTAATGAGTTAAATTGAAAGATATAATTTTTTGAAGTAAATGCATAATAAATAAATTTAATAATTTTTCCTATATTTTATGAATGCTTGCATTTTATACATGATAGTGACAAAAAAAGATAGCATTTGTCTGTTAGCAAGGAAGGCTAATTGTTAACATTTTAATGAATATGGGTTGACTCTTAAAATATAATATCCTGCGCTGGAGGGTGGGCCGACAAGCTTTCCTTTAAATAAAAGGTTAGTGGTATAGTCTTAGTTGTAGCGTGTAACTGATGGACTGAATTACGCCGACAGGTAGAGGGTGATGCCTCTTAAATGATTATTGAAAGTTACCTGTGAAAATAAATGATAAATATATAATTCTTTCAATTTGATTTTAGGGCGTTACAGAACACCCATTTGCAGCCGACTAGTTTTTTCCCTTCAGGTAGGTCGGTGATCTCCCATGTATTGTTCTTCTCTAGGGTTTATATTTCATCTTTTAGGATACAACGGAGAAAAAAGATTCAAGGTGCAAACCCCACATAGCGGGATAAAGGTTTGTTGTTGTATTTATTTCCAGCAAGCTGATATCTTCCAGTGGCATGGCATGTGCTTTTTAAAGTATGAAACGATAATTTCTCTAAGTTTTTCATTAAATAGTCACAACTTGTCTTTTTTTTGTCTGTGTTTATCAAAAGTTTGCACATTGGACACCTTAAGATGTAGTTTTTGTCAAATCTTCTTCAACATTGGTAAATATTATTTGCTTGATCATATCATAAATTTCCATATAACATCTTCATTCTTTGATCTTTCACAGGATCATCTTGGGCTGCAGTCTTGGGGAAAAGAGAAGGCCTCAGTTTACCAGCAGACCTGTATCTGGAAGGTACAGACCAACACCGGGGTTGGTTCCAGAGTTCCTTGCTTACAAGCATTGCTACAACAGGTAATTCTTAGATACATGCGTAAGCTTTGCTTTATCATGCACGGATTCCAACATTTATATAGTTCTCTTAGCTTTCTGTCTGCTTTTGCAATTGTCTCATTCAGAAACCCACCAATCAAAACACATGTTCATACTTACAATACGCATATTGTTAGCGTAGAAAAATATCAAATTAGGAAGGCCCTTTATATTTGATGATTGTTGTATTTTGGGTATGCTTTAAAACGTTGTGTTCATCTTATTTATAATAGAGGAGTTCTCTTTTGAATGATACACAACACCAAATATATTTCTTTTCTAACATAGTATAAAAACAAGGTTAGTCTAATCCTAGCCTTGCCCCCGCGCCTTGCTCTCATATTCTCTGGCTTTCACTCACAGTGTCACGACCTTTCAAACTCTAACAAAGGGGAACCTTTTGATAATCTATCTCCATATTGAAGGCTTGTTGAAAAGTTGATTTATCTGTCATTGGACTTGTTATGCCATTCATTATATGAATTGTGGGCCAAAGCATGCAAAGTCAAAAGCAGAAAAGGCTTGGGAAGCTATTCCATGCATTGTTAGTTTTATAAAAAAGACTAGGAAGATGATTACTATTTACTAAAACCAAGCAATTATGCATGGAAGCATTTACATGTTTTGATTATATTGGCTCCATAGAAAACAAAAGTCAACTTTTAGATATTGTATTTTTTGTTGGTGTTAATTTGGTCACATTAGGAGGTTAAGAAATAAGGTCTTATGACCATGTCCAATACTGAGGATAATCTTGACCTTTGGTCCATTTTACATGTGAAATGTCATAGGTAAAGGCTCTCTTTAAAGGCTCTCTTAAGGAAGTTTGATTTTTTTAGCTAGAAACCTATGGCTTTGTATTGTAACTATTGCGTTGTCATCAATATTGCCAACAACCCTATGTTCCTTAAAAGAATCAAGCATAATAAGATTATCATATAATTTAGGATGTTATGTTTTCTAAGAAGATTATCACCCCTTATGTCTCCTGATCAAAGTAAACAATTGATATTTTTATAGTAGATCGAGGTACTCTACCGTTCTTTTGATTATATAATAAGTTGAAGTTAATGTGTGTGTATACATATATAGATACACACACATATATACATACATGCATATATGGATAGATAGGTAGATATGCATACGCATAAATATGCATGTAAAATATATTCCAAATTGAGGAGTGTTAGCATAGTAAAATATCAAATGAGTGCAGAGGGTAAATTGCATTTAGGCCCATCTAATTTGACCAAGTAACTTTTGGGCCTTATTACTTGGAGAAATTTCATATAATAAATGTCAAGACTTTTAAAAATTTGGATATAGATTATGGTTCATTGACTGAAAACCCCACTATAACATAATGAGAAGATAATATTATCATCCCAGATAGGCTTCATATAAGTTCCCTGGTTATGTAATTTTCATGTAGGTCTACCCTCATCTTTGGTCTCTTCCTTGCTACACTCTGATGCAATAAAAAATAAGCAAAAAATTAGGCCAGCCCTAATTTTTTGCTAGAAAAGACATTTCCTTACTAGGATAAAGAAATTACATAAAGACACTTTTGAAATAACAAAAACAACAACTTTATATCATATAAAACGACCATACAACAAAAGACACTTACAAACGACTCAAACAAAACACCTAAAGTTGCTTTCATCCATTGAAAGAAGAAAGATACAAGTGGGGTGGATTCTTGCAGATAGAAGAAGAGGTTAGAAGCCAAGACGAAACATAGGAGAAGCTCGCAAGCATTCCCAATAAGAAGAGAAGAGAGAAATGAAACATGCTCGCAAGCTTTTCCAACAAAGAAGAAAAACCTCTCAGTTTTTTATCCAAAAATCACATTATATCACATACTTTTTTTATTCCAAAATATCTACGATTTATAGACCAAAAGAGGGCAGCTAAACATCCACTTAAAGCATTAATTAAACCTATTAGATTTAGGGAAATGAAAGGCCAACAGCCACCAAACAACAGCCCCAAACCGGCTCAGGAAACAGGGAAAAAAGGCCACAGGAAAGTCAGCCAGCACAAAGAAGGAACAACCGGTACATGAAAAACAACCAGGGCCACGGGAACAGCAAAAGCCCAAGATAAACTGAGGGGACAAGGAGGAAACCGAGAAGGCAGCATGGGGAAGAGGAAAAGCCAAACTTTTTCATACATAATGAGCTGAAATTAGTAGAGAAACCTTTTTGAATTAATGAGCTAAAGTCACAACTTAAGCATTTATGAGCTTGAACCAAGTAAATCCCAACAATTAGCTCCAAATCAAAGCAAACAAGGCCCAAACCGAGAGCACCAGCAGCCCAATGATCAAAACAAATTCTCATATTGTTTTGACCCCCCTTTGCATGCATCAGATACTCCCCTACTTGAAAAACTCATCTTCTGATGAGTTGTCTTTTGATTTGATCCGAGGAGACGGTGAAAGTGCATCTAACTCTTGAATCTTTGCCTCATACTTTTTCAGGATTTCATCTCGCTCTTGCTTGAATTGTTCTTGCAGATGTTTCCTTTTCTTCAAATAATTTTCCGTACTCATATGCATCTTTATCTGTAGTTTGAATAATTCGTTCTGTATCGGATCTGTTGAATCGCCTTCTGTTGGAACCCATCTGTTCATAGGGATTTGGAATTCAGGAACACCTGGCTGATTTTCTCCCACTTCTGATTCATTGATTTTGTTGTTTTTCATTTTTTTGTCAAACACAAAAAATGCACAAAACTTAAAAGATACAACACTAGAACAACAAAAACCTAGGAAGACACAAACCTAGGCTCACACATGACACACACAACAACTGCTATG